ACTTAAGGAACTTCTCTTTTCTTTAAGAAATCTCAGGGATGAAGATGCAAGTTATTGTGGACAATTGATTAACAATCCTTGCATTGGTTAATAATCAATGGCACGCAACCCAAAATAATAGCAGGATCAATTTTATATTGGAAATACAGCTGCCTTCCGATTTCACCATAATACATGCCAGACATCTCCAAACTTGGCAGCTTTAAGACTTGTGGATTTCAACTCCATTCCATGCTGGCAGGGGAATTCTGGAAGTTAAAGTCCAGAAGTCTTAAAGTTGCCAAGTTTGGAGACCCCTGATATATGCCAACAGAGAAATAATTGCAGAATCTCAGACTTCTCCCTATGTATTAATAGTAGTAGTAGTAGTAGTAGTAGTAGTAGTAGTAGTAAAGTTGGAAGGGACCTTGGAGGTCATCTAGTCCAACCCCCTGCTCAGGCAGGAAACCCTGTACCATTTCGGACAAATGGCTGTCCAGTCTCTTCTTAAAAACTTCCAGTGTTGGAGCATTCACCACTTCTGGAGGCAGGTTGTTCCACTGGTTAATTGTTCTAACTGTCAGGAAGTTTCTCCTTAGTTCTAGGTTGCTTCTCTCTTTGGTTAGTTTCCATCTGTTGCTTTTTGTCCTGCCTTCAGGTGCTTTGGAGAATAGCTTGACTCCCTCTTCTTTGTGGCAGCCCCTGAGATATTGGAACACTGCTATCATGTCCCCCCTCGTCCTTCTCTTCATTAAACTAGACATGCCCAATTCCAGCAGCCGTTCCTTATATGTTTTAGCCTCCAGTCCCCTAATCATCTTTGTTGCTCTTCTTTGTACTCTTTCTAGAGTCTCAACATCTTTTTTACATCGTGGTGACCAAAACTGGATGCAGTATTCGAAGTGTGGCTTTACCAAGGCATTGTAAAGTGGTATTAACACTTCACGTGATCTTGATTCTATCCCTCTTTTAATGCAGCCTAGCACTGTGTTGGCCTTTTTGGCAGCTGCAGCACACTGCTCGCTCATATTTAGGTGATTGTCCACTAGGACCCCGAGGTCCCTCTCACAGTTACTACTATTAAGCAAGGTGCCCAGTGTTCACATCTGTCCAGATCCTTCTGTATCTTAAGCCTGTCTTCTGGAGTGTTGTCTATTCCTGCCAGCTTGGTGTCGGCTGCAAATTTGATGAATTCCCCATCTATCGTTGATGAAGATGTTGAAGAGCACTGGGCCCAGAACAGAGCCCTGGGGCACCCCACTACACACTTCCCTCCATGTAGATGTGGTTCCATTGAGGACCACATGCTGAGCTACGGATCCATCTGGTAGTGATGCTATCTACCCCACATTTTTCTATCTTGTCAAGTAGTAGGTTGTGATCTACTTTATCAAATGCCTTACTGAAGTTCAAGTAAATTATATCCACAGCATTCCTCTGATCCACTAATTTTGTCACTTGGTCAAAGAATGCAATAAGATTTGTCTGGCATGATCTATTATTGACAAACCCATGTTGGCTTTTAGTAATGACTTTGTTTGCCTCTAGGTGTTCGCTGATTCGTTGTTTGATTATCTTTTCCAGGATCTTCCCAGGTATCGAGGTCAGGCTGATAGGTCTGTAATTTCCTGGGTCCATTTTTTTTCCTTTTTTTGAAGATGGGAACTACATCAGCTCTTTTCCAGTCCTCTGACAGTTCCCCAGTGCTCCAGGATCTTTGAAAAATATAGTTCAGTGGTTCTGAGATCACATCTGCCAGTTCCTTGAGAACCTTGGGGTGTAATCCATCTGGTCCTGGCGATTTGAACTCGTCTAGGCTGGACAGGTGCTCACTTATTTAGTCTCCCCAAGTTTTAGTCTGGATGCTTGTGCTGTGACCTTTTTAAAAAATTACTTTGATGTATTTATTTATTTATAGTTCATACTCTGATACAATGATAAACCGTTTCAAACCAGGGCAAAACTGCTCTAGAGGGGAAGTAAATTTGCAATGTAATCTATAACTTATGAAGCTCCAAGTGGTTTGGCACAAGGATACAAGAGTGCCCAGAGCTACTGGAAGTTGGGTGATATATACATTTAATATATTATATTTATATGCCACTCATCTCACCATTACAGCAACTCTGGGTGACTTACAGCATAACAGAAAAAGAATACAAAACCATTAAAAACTAAGAAAAATTAAAGACTAAGAACAAGAGGATAGGCGACATAGGGTGTCAGAGCATGCACAATCTTATTGCGCTGAGGTAACCCAGGAGTAAATACAGTAAACAGTGGTCTGTATTAAGTGGTGGCTTATATTACACTATCTACAATATACACTAGGAACAAAATACATACATGTAATACAGCAAACTCCAACATACAGCAGTTACAGCAGGAAACAGACAAGAGAGAACACAGCAGCAAAAGCCTTCCCTTTTCTACTCAGACTCTTAAAGGGACACAGACATCTGCTGAGTCATTCCTATCATTGCATCATCCACCTTACATTACATCAGCTGGTTAGCCTTTAAATCATTATCCTGACATAGAGGTGGAAATGGTCTCTCTTACCCCCGTCAGCTACGCTCAGCATAGAGGCCTGTATCGAGACTCCAAGCAAGCCAGCAAAGCCAGAGAATATTCCAAAGGACAGGGACCATAGCAGAAAAAAACTCATCATCCAGACTCTGCCAGCTGAATTTTTTTGGCAGACGAGATCCAAAGTAGCCCCTCTTCTGCTGGAACAAATGGGACAGGCCAGTCCAATTGGGATGAAAAAGCTTCTCAGATTATTAGTATTATTAGGGTTCTTTGCACAGTCATGCTTGATGGTGTTAGAGGTATCGTTGCAGGACGTAAGCTGTTCCAAGTAAAACTGCCTTTTGCAATTGCCTAATAGATTATCATGGTTTGTTGCACAGTTAGCCAGATGTTTAGACTGGATTTGGCATTTTTCTCCACCTATCATGTCCTTCTTAAGAACCTGGGATAGGCAGATATTGACGTTTGACGGTGTTAGAGGTATCGTCGCAGGATGTAAGCCAGTGGTGGCGAACCTATGGCACGGGGCCAGAGGCGGCACTCAGAGCCCTCTCTATGGGCACATGCACAATGCCCCGGAGATGGCAACTATCCCTCTTCAACCAGCAGCCTGCTAACTTGCCGAGGTCCCACATGGCCAGATGCATCCCAGCACGGCTGGTTCCCCCCCCCATCCCGTCCCTCCAGGCCTCTCATGCTCTCCTTTTCCCGGGCACGACCCACTGCATCGCCTCCTCAGCTGTCGGCCGGCCATCCAGCTCAGAGGCGGCTTCTTTGAACTGTTGGCGGCAGGCTGCAGAGCCCCAGAGTGCACCAGTTGAGGGGCCAGCAGGCTGTGGCTGCTGACGGACACCGTCGGCCCCCATTCGCTTGCTGGCCTCTATGTGCGGGGGCCGATGGTGTCAGGCAGCAGCCACCCCGGTCCTTGTCTTGCCGCATGGCAATGGCACCCCCACCCTGTCTCGCCTCACCCCGCAGGACGAGCCTCCTGCCCACTGCCCCACCTGCCAGAGACCCCCTGGATCTCCCCCAACCCTGCCCATCCCCCACAGGCATCCCTCCCCACGAGCAACATTGAGGTGATCACGCCCACCTTGGCCACACCCACCAAATCTGCCATGACCACCACAGCCATGACCACCCAGTGAGCCACCCCACCTGGCACCTGGCGATAAATAAGTGGGCTTTGGGTTGCAGTTTGGGCACTCGGTCTCTAAAAGGTTCGCCATCACTGATGTAAGCTGTTCCGAGTAAAGTTGCCTTTTGCAATTGACTGATGGTGAATTTGTCAGTGCCGGTGGACAAATTCAAGTGGTGCTCCAATTGTTTTGGGATTGCACCCTAGGCACCTATTATCTCTGCTTTCACGTTCTATTTCTGTTGTTAATATTATTGTTCTTACAGGACTGCGCCTTCAACCAGCATAACAGGATCTGTCCAATAAGAGCAGTTTGGGGAAAAACTTTCAGTGGTTCCCCCACTACTAAGAGATTATAGAGGCAAGGCCAGAGGATGCCTCTCCGTTACGGCCCCTTGTTATAAAATACTTCATCACCAGAAATCAGGCTTGCTCCAATCTTCTTGGTCTTTCAAAAGCAAGCTAAACCCGAGCTATTCCAGTAATTCTTTTAAATGCTTAAGATATCACTCTAGAACTGTTTATGTGCTCTCATTTTAAGATAAAACGAGAGCACATCAACATCTGTTAGATGACTATAACAAATTCCATAATTATAGGATAATTATTTCTATGGCACTATTTTATTATGGATGTTTTCCCTTGTAAATAGCTGAGAGTCATAAGATTGTGGCAGTGGATATACCTAATAAGTAAAATAAATCTCACTGGTGCTAGCCAATCAATGGCATGTACTTAGGGAACATTTAACACTACTTATTACTGAATTAAATCATTGGTGTTTGGCTCAATATTATCTAGGCTGACTGGCAGCAGCTCATTTGCTTTTAAATATAGGTTTCTCCAGCCTTAGAAATGTTTCACATTCAGCCTGGAATCTTTTCATGTTGTTTACTACTCAATAGCACCCTTTTCCCATCTATATGATGCAAACTTGCAGAGATCTTGACTCAGAGAGGAAAACATTATGTGTGAGCTTAATTAACATTTAACACTGGAGAGAAACAACACATTTTGACTACTACAAAAGAGAAAAAAAAACCAGACCGGATGGTGGTTTAGAGCAAGAATAACAGAAAACTGAGGGGGGGGAAATTAAACTTCTCTCCCTCCCTCCCCCATTTCCACTCCAAATTCTTGTCTCCAAAATGGCATTTTTAGTAGAAAAAGCAGTTTCTAATAAACAGGGAAGGAGGGAGATTGATGCCCCCAAAGATGCATTGTGAGTGTGATATGAAAGTAATGGGTTTATTTGCATGTGTAAAATTAAAAACATGTAGCAACAGGGACCATGTCGAGGTTGGCTTGAAGCATATACAACTTCTTCTGAATGTTTTCCTTGTTGTTACAGTGGTGATTCTTTATATCCAAGAAACTGCAGACAAAGAATGGCGAGAGGTGAGGTTCCCCTCCCTAACATGGATACATGTGTTTTATCCAGTGGTTGGCCAAACCTTTCTGGCATATTTCAATAGTATCTTATTGATAGACTCCTGGGTTCTGATTGGGTGGATCCTTGCCAGACTCTCTCTATCAAGGATCTCTCTATGGTCCAGTAATCTTCCTTCCAAGCCACTTAGCAATTCTTCCCCATTGCCCACAATGTTTAGGACAGGGGTAGGCAACCTTGGCTCTTTTATGACTCGTGGACTTCAACTCCCAGAATTTCTGAGGCAGCCAGTCATAAAAGAGCCAAGGTTGCCTACCCCTGGTCTAGGAGGTTCTAGGTTTAAAACCTCGATGTCAAGCCGTCGTGTCTTGGCGCTGCACAAACCAGCCAGCAAGCAGGAACGTTAGACATATGGTAGTTTAATCACTCCATGTAGGTTAAAGTCAGCACTGGGAGGCGTTCGCTCCCAATGCCTTACATAGCATGTGTTCCGGCCCCACCCTTGTGGATACGCCCCGGCCCCACCCACCTCCCAAGCCACCATCCTA